TAAGTCTAATATATCCTCCTTTCAACTTTGTCATTTGGATGTAAATAATACAGGTAAAAATACACATTCATAGAATACAAATAGTTAAAAATCTTAAAATAATTCTGTACAAAACAAGAGGCCCATGGGCCTTATAGGTCACCTGAGCATCATGCAACAACTTTCCAGTGATTGAATTTGATTCATGTTTTAATCCAGATGCTATGGCATTCACAATTTTGAAATAGGCACCATTGATCATCATAACAATACACTTAGCAGTTGCTTAGTTTGTTTACTTAATACCCATAGGTAGGGTAGGGGAACAAAAAATGCATTTCAAGTAATCAGTAATATTCAGCATGATCAGTAATGCCCCAATCACACATGAACCCCTGACCCTTAGGCCTAGATCCACACATTGCACAATTTTTGAAAAGGCACCCTTGCTTTTCAAAAATATTTGATAAATACCAAGGAGCAGATTTCAAACAATTCATCCAGTTTCAGTATATAAGTACAGCCCCCCCCCTCCTTTATGGTACCCCTGACCCTGGGGCCTTGAAATTCACAATTCTGGAAGATTAGGACCCTTACTCATCATAACTATATAGGTAGTTCATCTGCTTAATACCAAGGAGCAGAGAAGAAAACTTTCAAAGATTTAGTGTATTTTCATTGTATAATCGATAAAGCCCCACCCTATCACTAGAATCCCTGACCCTGGGGCCATAAAATTCACAATTTTGGAAGAGGCACTCTTGCTCATCATAACTATGCACTTATTTAGTTTATTTAATACCCAGAAGCAGAGAAGAAGATTTTCAAAGAATTCATGTATTTTCACTATATAATCTAAAGAGCCCCCCCCCCTACACCAGAACCCCTGACCCTGGGGCCATCGAATTCATAATTTTGGTAGAAGCAGTCTTGCTCATCATAACAAAGCACTTAGTTAGTTAATTCAATACCCAGGAGCAGAGAAAAAGATTTTCAAAGAATTCATGTATTTTCACTATATAATCTATAGAGCCCCCCCCCCCTTACACCAGAACCCCTGATCCTGGGGCCATAAAATTAACAATTTTGGTAGAGGCACTCTTGCTCATCATAACTATGCACTTATTTAGTTTATTTAATACCCAGGAGCAGAGAAGAAGATTTTCAAAGAATTCATGTATTTTCACTATATAAGCTATAGAGCCCCCCCCCCTTTTCACCAGAACCCCTGACCCTGGGGCCATAGAATTCACAATTTTGGTAGAGACACTCTTGCTCATCATAACTATGCACTTATTTAGTTTATTTATTACCCAGGAGCAGAGAAGAAGATTTTCAAAGAATTCAAGTATGTTTCACTATGAAATCTATATTCCCCCCCCCCCTTACACCAGAACCCCTGACCCTGGGGCCATAAAATTCACAATTTTGGTAGAGGCACTCTTGCTCATCATAACTATGCACTTAGTTAGTTTAATTAATACCCAGGAGCAGAGAAGAAGATTTTCAAAGAATTCATGAAATTTCACTATATAATCTTTAGAGCCCCACCCTAACACCAGAACCCCTGACCCTGGGGCCATAAAATTCACAATTTTAGTAGAGGCACTCTTGCTCATCATAATTATGCACTTAGTTAGTTTATTTAATACCCAGGAGCAGAGAAGAAGATTTTCAAAGAATTTATGTATTTTCACTATATAATCTATAGAGCCCCACCCTAACACCAGAACCCCTGACCCTGGGGCCATAAAATTCACAATTTTGGTAGAGGCACTCTTGCTCATCATAACTATGCACTTAGTTAGTTTATTTAATACCCAGGAGCAGAGAAGAAGATTTTCACAAGAATTCATGAAATTTCACTATATACTTTTTAGCCCCACCCTAACACCAGAACCCCTGACCCCGGGGCCATGAATTTCACAATTTTGGTAGAAAATGACTCAATGCTGATTACAATCATGCAAACAGTTTGACTGCTTGATGTCCAGGAGTAAAGAAGAAGATTTTTAAAGATTGCACTAATTTTAGTGGTTTTTGCCCCACCCCCCAGGCCCCAGGGGGGCAGGGCCCATGAAATTCACAATTTTTGTTCCCCTTCACCCATAGATGCTATATGGCAAATTTGGTTGAAATTGGTTCAGTGGTTTCAGAGAAGAAGCTGAAAATGTTCAAATGTTAACGCACGACGCACGACGAACGACGACGGACGAAAAGTGATAGCAATAGGTCACCTGAGTTTACTCAGGTGACCTAAAAATCTACTTCAAAAGTGCGAATTTTAAAATCATATTAACATAATGAATAAATGTGTTTTTCAAATTGTAGCTTAGATACCAGCACTAGATTCTAGTCACTGGTAGTGATTCAAAAAATAATGGCTCTTTCTACAGTTTATAATTACTCAAGCTAATAGACAGTATACACATTGATACAGCAATATCAAGCATACAACCTCTATAAACATTGATATCCTAAATCTTTAATTCAAGCATACATTACTTCTGAACCTGGAGAGGGTCACTGTGCTGTGCTAGAAAGCATGTTTTAAAGCAGCTTTATTCCAAAGCTATACATGTACTTTACAAATGCATCTTTCTTTCAGATTTCCTTATATGGAGCAAAATCTTTTTATGCATTTTTGTTGATGTATTTCAAGATTAAAATTAATTTCATCCATGAAATCTTTGGTGAAAAAAAATGCACTTTATACTACCTATGTCAAGCATATTTCATTATTAAAAATACCAATGTACTTATAATTAAACCATATCACACACTTTACTTCTTAAAATTATCTATTAAAAGTAAACACTAAAACTCTTATTTCAATCTTCTTATGAATATTTCTGTTAATACCAAATTACATTTGTGAGAGATAAGAGAGAAAAAAGTCAGTTGATTTACGAGATGTAGAACGTTCCTTAAACCAAATAAAATTAGTACGAATAGAGATACATTCATCCATATTTGAAGACAGGTATATCATAAGAAAAGTTTTATTCCTAAAAATTTTTAACTTAATATTGCATGACACTGACCCAAACATTTGAACACAAAGCTCAATATAAAGCCAGTATTCCATGCATAACATTGCAGCATTGGAAGTATAGACCAGTATTCATCTCAGCCTGGACAATTTCCGCAAAAACATGTACATTTGTTTATGCTGCAATTCCACACATACTGTAGACGTACTTTTTTTCCATGGGGTCATAATTCCGCGGAATCTCCATTTCTGCTTAATCCGCGTGTAGAAAAATACGCGGATTTCCTAGACTGTCATTATATGCCTTACATTTATATTAAGAACGCATGGACAAATTTCCATGGAAAATTTTGACCACGTACATATCGTAAATTAATACCACGCAGAAAAAAAGTACTTCTACAGTAGTTCACATGCTCAACTTATATCATAAAACTGTAACAATTTTCTAACCAATCATATTTCATTTAATAAAATCCTCAAATTTGTAAGAAGAAAACCAAAGAGTGGAAATAGTGGAAAAAGTTTGTTTTTTTAAATAAAATTTTTACTGTCATTAGTTTAGAGTTGGACAAAATGATTAATGTATTAGATAAATATATCTAGAGTCTAAGTGTGTATTCAGAGGAGGGAATATATTCCCCTCTGTATTGGTGTTTATTATAGCCGTCACACTCACCTTGACTTTACAGTGGGTTTTGCATGGTCTACAGATAAAAACTGGGGTGTGCTCCTTTAACAAAATGTTTAGCAACTTTATACAATTATTCTTTCAGATAACAAAATCCAATAAGTATTGTACTTGTATGTGTTTACCGGTATTTTCTATATTACAAATAATTGGCATGCTAATATATCTCTTATAGTTATCCTTGTAATACCCAACAAAAGATTGCATGCAGTATCAGCTTTTAAACAATTTATTTACATGGAAAATTCTTTATTTCAATTTCTTTTTTAACATAATTTAATATCATCTTTTTGATTTTTTTTTCAAAGAGAATGTCTGATAATTTTTTTTTTGTACACTCCAAACCAAAACCAATGCAGAAAAAGCATGAACTTTATGTTATTACCGTAATTGACAAAACATAACAAATTACACATGATGATACTGACTATTTTAAAACATACAGAAATGTTTGCAATACTCTAATATCTCTTCAATATTCTTTATTTAACACTGTTAAGATATTTTTTTAAATAAAAAAAACCTCTTTTTGTGTTGCAAAAAAAAAAAAAAAAAAGATGACACACAAGAAAGCTTATCTGTATGCATTACTGAAACATTAATTTTTTTTTCAGAATATCACCACTTTGTTTATGTTTTGTAATTTTACTTGGATGTTATAATTAAAAAATAACCACCTCTTTAAAAATGACCTCCCACCACCTTCCATACTCAAAACCAATATATTAGGAAAAGTTATCAGCCTCTCAATCTCCAATACCAGCAAAAATATGTGCTTTGTATTAATGTTTAATATTGCCGACAATAAAATATGAAAGCTAAATTTATACATTTTCTGACTGGGATACAAGGCAGCATGTGTTTTGTTGGCCCCCAAAACCAAGCTGCTTGCCTGAAACCATTGAGCTGAAAGAAACAGTTCGGTATGAGAATTTGGCAAAAGACATACTGCACAATTATCCAGTCAGTAAATGCTTTGTCATACCTTTTATTCAATAAATTCAAATAGGTTAATGACCCTTAACAATAGACTTCGTGAATACAAATTAAATGTGACACAAAAAACATAATTTTGGTGGGATCACACAGTAAAGCCATTGAAAATGTTACAAATTTTATAGGAAAGATTCAAATATGAAACAATTTTTAAAGGTATAACAATACATACTGTAAGTAACAAATCAGAAACAATTCAACATTTCTGAATTCTTACATGTCTTTATCTTTCACCCTATCTAAAATTATACCAGTCAGGCATAGTATATCACTTAACGTTAAACCCTCCCATAATGCTTTTTTCCATGGACTGCACTCCCATCATGCTCCTAGCTAGCTGCCAAAACCTACTCCATAACAGACTTTCCTAGAGCTAACCTTGCACAAACACCAAGCTCCAATCTACAACCTATCCTGTACACAGCCTAACATAGCACCCTCCCTACACATTATTACACTACTACACATGAAACATTCTACCCTTCTGGTACAGCACCATGCTCTTATCTACATTTCTCTGATGTTCTAGTGTTATTCTTTCCATTTCCCCACCCTTTTATCTACTACAGTATTTAAACCACACTAGATCCAACATACCTTAATTGTTACATCAATCTTTCACAATGCTACAACCTGCACATTTCATTTTCCTAACAAAACACCACCTCAAAAATTCAAACCAGCACAGCAAAATATCACCCTTCATAAGACTTCACCTTAACGCATTTCACTTCAAAGCTCCTCTAACTCCATGCAAATCTGTGATCACCTCATGACACAGACACTACAGACTTACTCTTCACTGGCCATTTCGTTGTACATCAGCAGTACATTGTGGTTCTCGGTCGTGTTGCCCACGCTCTCCCCAACACCCCGCTGTAGGATGTCGGGGGTCTCTGGGATGGGCTGGATGGGGTCAATGAGGGAGGAGGAGAAGTCGATCCCCATCTGACTGGTGATTGTATTAAACACGCTCTCCTCCCCCGCTGGGCTGCTGTCCAACTCCAGGTGATTGCTCTCCAGGAAACGCTGAAGCTCACTCGCTATCTTCTCTGTTCAGGGAAAAATAAAGATTCACACAGAAATACAACATTATTTAATTACATTTAAAAAAAAATTTCTTTACCCTCTACGGTAATGTAAAAACAAGAGGTCCAGGGGCCACATCGCTCACCTGAGCAAATCATCTAGGAAAAAACACAAATCAGATGCTTTCAACTGAAAAGTTTACTTTTTCCTGGCCCAGTGGTTCTTGAAAGAAGATTTAATATTTTCCCTATATACTGCCTTCATATTAATACAGCATATGACTTTGTTGTTCTTGATAAAAAGATTTTTTAAAAACATTTTCTTCCTATACTATCACTAATGATTGCTCTGAAGTACTTGAGAAGACGATTTTTATAAAGATTTTTCCTATATATTCCTATGTAAAACTTTGATCAGCCATTGTGGCCCCATCCTACCCCTGGGGGTCATGATTTGAACAAACTTGAATCTACACTACCTGAGGATGCTTCCCACATGAGTTTCATCTCTCCTGGCCCAGTGGTTCTTGAAAAGAAGATTTTTAAAAATTTTCCCTATATATTCCTATGTAAAACTTTGATCGGCCATTGTGGCCCCATCCTACCCCCGGGGGTCATGATTTGAATAAACTTGAATCTAACACTACCTAAGGATGCTTCCACATGAGTGTCATCTTTCCTGGCCCAGTGGTTCTTGAGAAGAAGATTTTTAAAGATTTTCCCTATATACTCCTATGTAAAACTTTGATCGGCCATTGTGGCCCCACCCTACCCCCAGGGGTCATGATTTGAATAAACTTGAATCTACACTATCTGAGGATGCTTTCACATGAGTTTCATTTTTCCTGGCCCAGTGGTTCTTGAGAAGAAGATTTTTAAAGATTTTCCCTATATACTCCTATGTAAAACTTTGATCAGCCATTGTGGCCCCACCCTACCCCCCGGGGGTCATGATTTGTACAAACATGAATCTACACTATCTGAGGATGCTTCACCATGATTTTCATTTTTCCTGGCCCAGTGGTTCTTAAGAAGAAGATTTTTAAAGATTTTCCCTATATACTCCTATGTAAAACTTTGATCAGCCATTGTGGCCCCACCCTACCCCCGGGGGTCATGATTTGAACAAATTTAAATCTACACTATATGAGGATGCTTCAACATGAGTTTCATCTTTCCTGGACCAGTGGTTCTTGAGAAGAAGATTTTTAAAGATTTTCCTTATATACTCCTACGTAACACTTTGATCGGCTATTGTGGCCCCACCCTACCCCCGGGGATCATGATTTGAACAAACATAAATCTACACTATCTGAGGATGCTTCCACATGAGTTTCATTTTTCCTGGCCCAGTGGTTCTTGAGAAGAAGATTTTTAAAGATTTTCCCTATATACTCCTATGTAAAACTTTGATCAGCCATTGTGGCCCTACCCTACCCCAAGGGGTCATGATTTGAACAAACTTGAATATACACTACATGATGATGCTTCCACATGAGTTTCATCTTTCCTGGACCAGTGGTTCTTGAGAAGAAGATTTTTAAAGATTTTCCTTATATACTCCTATGTAACACTTTAATCCGCTATTGTGGCCCCACCCTACCCCCGGGGGTCATGATTTGAACAAACATGAATTTACACTATCTGAGGATGCTTCCACATGAGTTTCATTTTTCCTGGCCCAGTGGTTCTTGAGAAGAAGATTTCTAAAGATTTTCCCTATATCCTCGTATGTAAAACTTTGATCAGCCATTGTGGCCCCATCCTACCCCCGGGGGTCATAATTTGAACAAACTTGAATTTACAATACCTGAGGATGCTTCCACATGAGTTTCATCTTTCTTGGCCCAGTGGTTCTTGAGGAGAAGATTTTTTTAAAATGCCATTAATTTTTCACTAATTTATAATTATCTCCCCTTGGAAGAGGGCGTGGCCCTTCATTTGAACAAACTTGAATCCCCTTTGCCAAGGTTTTTATACCACCTTAGGATACTTTGTGCCAAGTTTGGTTGAAATTTTTAATTTTGGCAAGAAGTTGGCACACAGGGTTTAATATTGATATAAAGTTCAAAAATCGTCGCAAAATGTGATATTCAACTTCAGAAAAGTTAAATTTGAAATATATGAATTTACTTCTTAATGCAGCGAAAAATAATTCACTTTTAAGACTGGTACTTTGTTTCCATGGTAACACTGCAACGGTTTTGGTGTTGCAAGGTCCTAAGGATGCAATTTGCGAATTTTTATGTTTTTCCTCAGAACAATCTTAGGACACTGTGTTAAATTTATTTATAGAATAATATTGCTTACACTTATATACTTAAGGTCATCAGAAAATGCTTCACTTAAGCCTTTCAGGTGAGCTAAAAATATAATGTTTGATTAGTATGAAACACCTACCATTAGTGAATACGGAGTGTTTTTCAGCATATTTCAGTACAGTTACTTGTTCTCAAACCTTAAAAAAAATCTTTTTTCAACAGTTATTATTTGATGAACCCCATATCTCCTCCTACACAGATTTTAAGTTTGAACTGACCATAATTTTTCTCTCTCTGCTGCTGTTTTTTCTCATTCTTCTCCTCTTTAACAGGTCTATTAGGGGTGATCTTCATGTGTTCCTCCTTGAATTTACTGAGATAGAAACAGAAGTCGGAACCTTTGAGGATATAACTGGGACCGGGGTTCAGGATCAGTTTATGGTCCATTTCCTTGTCCTTATCTTTGTCCAGGTCTGTCTCCATGACAGCAATCAGAGACACACCAAATCTGAAAAGAGAGATAAACTTACAGGACCTGATCAGCAACTCAATGCTCACAAAATGGCAAATATACCAAGAATTATGTCAATAACTTGTTATAGAAAGAAATCATTTAAACAGTGAAATTTGTCCTAAAGTGTATCTATAATCATTTGTTTTATTTCTCAAAGTAATAGAGATATGTACTGGGAATACTGCACTGTCGGTATGACTTATAGTGGACTTCCTAAAGATTGACTTACTTAGAGTGGACCTCTGCTGAAGTATGACTTACTTAGAGTGGACCTCTGCTGAAGTATGACAGAAAGTCTGACCCTCGTATTTACTGAAGAAGATGCTTTTACTGAGCTGTATGTGATACACCTCGTTCCCCGAGTGTCGGCCGTATAGCTGCATCCAGGGCTCGCTAGCCATCTCTCCCTCACTGTAACACAATACTACAGTCTGATAATTGTATACAACAGAATAACTGGGGATGATAAGCTGAGCACTGACTAAGTTTTAAAGTCAGCTTTTGCTATTTTTCTTGTTTACTCTCACTAAAACAATAATTTTGATCCTGATCTGCATGTATGTCTTGAAGAAATAAAGGGAATGGGTAACCAGAGAATGTTATGCTGACATTACATAAATAACTAAATTATCCAGTGACAACAATTAAATAACTTAGTACTATCCAATGACAACAAACAAATAATTATTAACTATCCAGTGACAAAAAATTCATAACTTACTATCCAGTGGAGGTGTGCACTAACAGGGAAACAAGGGTAGACAACCCAGGGTACAGACAGTTATTGGCAAGTAGGGCATAGGCAAACTCATCCTCACACACAACATGCTCTGAAATATAGTCCAGATAAAATATATATGCTAAATCTTTATTAAACATAAAATTCATATTAACTTATCTTTTTCTGTTATCTAATCAGTGAGGAAAGAACACAAGTGACCACACTCCAGGAGAGGAAAGAAGAATCAACTGACCTGCAAACTTGACATGAATTTTGTTCTCCGTTCTGAACAGCTGTATGAATTGATTGGTTTCTGGGCAGAAATCTTTGACAGCCCAAGACCTCATAATGGTGTTGTGGTCCTAAAAATGACGGAAAACAAATATTTTATATATTATCAATTAAATTGCTGCCTAAATATGCAATTCAAAGTTGTAAAAGGTTGAGAATTTATATAAAATTTAAATGATAAAATGTTACACCTCATTTTTTATCCAAAGAACAATTAAACACTGTCTACACACCTCTCTGTCCTTATTGGTGCAGTTTTCTGGGGCTAATATAAAACAGGCATCAGCATCATTCATTCTGAAATTTGAAGAAATACATACTTTAATGCAAAGAACTTACAGTATATACCACTTAGGATTTTTATCTATAACCCTGCGCCCCATTAGTTACCTGCATCGTTTAAGGTCTGCGGCCTTCAGTGCCGATCCTCTCATGTAAATGACCCTGTTGGCCCATTTAGGATCCTTCAGAATCATGTGCATACTGGAGTTCAACTCATCAGAGCTCAGCAAGATCACTGTGTATTCCTATGAAATGTAATAATTATTAACCTTTAATCAGCTCAGTTCAAATTGAATTTCACATTCACAGAAAACTTTCTACAAAATGTTGAACTTCTTTATACATTTATTACAAACAGCCAAAGAATCTAACATTTTTTTTTCTTCAAAATATCGAACATCTTAAATCTTTTTCAAAGTGCAATTATCATTTCTAAGCTCAATACTGTAGTACATGTGTATAATTATGAAGAAGATAATGTGAAACTAACACCTTATGGAAACATCTCATACCTCGTGTTTAGGGCAGGAGTAGAATTCTGTGAGGAAGTCCATGATGGCATCGCCTGCCAGATTCTGGGCACATACCACCACATGGTGGTTCTTACGGGCCTGTCTGCTGTAATACTCCCCTCCCGACTTCTTCCTCTCCACCCAGATAGAACCAATACCCTCTATCTATAGTAATAGAAGCTTTCTTTACAGTACATTCATATACATATCTATGCCACAGTGTATAAATGTCTATACAATTTTCTTTTAGTACTCTGTCTTTTCCATATGCATATATAAATTCTCTGCATTGAAGGTTCATGAGCCACAAGAGTCAAATAATGGTTTTAATACTTGTATTTCAAAGCTATCTTTGCCTGATCTAAAAAAATTTTTTCTCTTCTTTTTATAACTTGATGTTTACAAACCTGTCTTGGAATAAATGCGAAGGCAATGCAGATCATGAGGACCATAAAGAGTTGCCCTAGCCAGATGTCGGGAGATATGTCCCCGTAGCCCACAGTAGAGAAAGTTACAATGGTGAAGTAGAAGGACTCAAACAAAGTTAGAGTCTTCTCCTGGCTGGCTCGCTGGATGTGCTGGATCCCACACACTCTGTATATAAAGAGGAAGGGGCATTGAAACTGCATCATTAATTTAAAGACACTTACTTGCAGATACTTAACATGGTAAAGATTACAGATATTAAAGTACAGAAACTTGTGTGGTAAAGAATAGATACATTAACATATGGATATATAGCTACGTGGTAAGATAAGATATTTTAATCTACTGAGAGATACTTACGTGGTAAAGATAAGAGACACTAATGTATAGATACGTACGTGGTAAAGATGAGAGACACTAATGTATAGATACGTACGTGGTAAAGATGAGAGACACTAATGTTGCTCCCAGTATTAGTAGCTGTTGAGACATGGTGACAGATATTGTCTGGAAGCGCTGTTTGGTCAGGTGAAGATCATTCTGAAATATCATAAAATAAGATCGGCATAAATCCATATTCTTCCCCTAAGTTAATTAATCGCTATATCAAGTATTTCATATATGTCATGGGATAAAATTTTATTGAAAAAATTTTAGTTTAAATTAAATTTTACATTTATTTGCTTCAAAACGCTATTTAAGTAAGATATATGTATAAAGAGCAGAAAGGAAGACACCTTAACAATCATAACATTTTAGGGAAAGCTTTCATACTTACAAATAATCTCTCCATGGCTCTTTTGGCAAGCCAGCAGTTAAGGAATGTTGGAACAAAGAGGTCCCTAAGCAGCATTGGGTAGGTTAACTGTAAGAGATGACAATGTCAATGTATTAAAATGTGCATGTATGTATGTACGAAGATATAAATATGAAAAAATTAGAATTTAAAACTTTGCACTTTAAAAATGCAATCCAGTTGGTTCACAAATTGTAAGAAATCTTACTGTGACAATCAATGGTAGAGAACAGATGACTTCTAGAATAAAGGCTGGCTTTGTCATCAATTCCACTTTACCCAGCTGAAATAGTATCAAGAAATATCAGAAAGATGCAAATGGCATACAGAAATATTAACTCCCATACAATCTGACAGCTATTCCTAATGTTCACAAAGTTCAAATTTATTTCCACGGAGCACATATAAGCATTTCCTTTATTCAAACTTTATAACTGAAAAAAAAAGAAACTGCAAAATCATCAGTCTCTAACTAATTCTGATAAAAATACATTCATAAAATTAATTTATACATAATACAGTTATTTTTCATCATAAAAAACAATAAACATGGGAAAAGATCAATAATAATGAAATTCTTCCAATGGAAAAATTAAAAGGAGGCCCTACTATAAATAATTACCATTATTTTTTTTTTTCTGAAGTCTATTTTGTTTATATTAATTTTGTTCAGATTTAAAATTCAGTTTTTATACAGTATTAAACAGAACCATGCAGAGTAATCCAGCTATACATGTAATAATAATCATGTATAAAATCATGCAGCCAGGCTACAAGTACTAAATACTGACTTATAGAAAATGTAACCCAAAATGACAAGAAAATACTATACTTATTCTCATCAAAATACAACATGTATACTAACCCTAAAAAACTAATTTGAATAACTTATTTGATTTTGGTAGGTGATTTTGATGGCGTTTCGTAAAAACAAAATGCCTAAAAAATGAAATACGAGGGTTGATCCAAAAGTTCGTGGAATTTCTTCATATTTTATTTATTTTTTAGCGAAATTGGTTGAAAATTACAAATGAGAATAAAGACACTTGTTGAACATTTTAAAGAAAAAATACATTTTAAATATCTATGATAGCAAGTCTTAGACAGTTGCCATAGAAATGGTTGTTTGGAAATGCGGGGGAGAAATTAACACGTTTATTATCATTTTATTTCCTAATACGTAAAATGAGAAATCAATAAAACTGCCCTTTGTGGTATTTAAAATGAAAATTGTGTCACTATTATGATTGTTTGATCTTTTATAAATCTTTGTGTGAGAGTTTTACTGATTTTACTGGATATTTAGTTTATTAGTTGATGACTTATTGGTCTTCTTTATGTTGTTAGACAACGTCGAGTTTAGTTCATAAGTTTTGTGAAAATCCCGGGATAACTCTATCTTAAACACGTATATTATTGACATAGGTTTGGGAAAAATGAAATTTTGTTACTGGTTTTCCAGTGGCATAAAAAATTTAAGAACAAAAGAACTTCCATGGCCGCCTTTTGGAGGCTCGGTTTTAATTGTCTATTGTCGTAGATAAATTAAAAGCATTAATGGACGTTGTTGGCTGACATACTGTTCATGGCATTGCTACTGAAATTAGAAAATCATATGGAAACACGGGGAGTATTTTGAAATATGAGTGAAAACTGAACATAAGTTGATGCGATAGAATACCCATACAAAAATAGAGAAAAGAGCAGCATTTTGTAGAATTACATATTTGAATTGGACATTAGGGTGAGATGCTTCTATAACGTGACATGACATATCTAACTTGACGTAACGTCGAAGTCTTCACGGGTTTCACAAGTATCCATTTCCTGTGAAGTTCTTGGTTATTGGAAAGTGGTGAAATTTTCCAATGTTATTGCATGATGACTCTATATTATAAATATGCCTGTTGTTTGCTTCTATTAAATCATGATAAAATTTTAGAAAGAAATTCCACGAACTTTTGGATCAACGCTCGTATAATCAGATTTCATATAATTATTCATCGCTCAACTTTCAAAAATCATTAAATTGATTTTTAATGGATACCAGATATACCATGATATATGTTACAAGTCTGAAACAGATGTTGAGTTCTGTACTATCCATTTCATGTATTTGTATGCACTATGTGCTCAACATGACAGTTTTAGTGACATTACTATCTCGCATCAATATTTTTTGTTTTTGTCGAAATGCATGCATGCACTTAGTTGATATATATACAATGAAATGTAATTTATAAATGAAAAAAAATAATTGTTTTAAAAATAAAATGCAAATACCAAACTTAGGAGGAAAACTTATGACAATCAAACAGAAAATAAAATAGACATAATAAAAAAAATATGCATGTAAACATGACATTCAGAAACAAATAATACGCATTCAGTTGTGGGTATCTATAAAATATCCTAGAAAATCAGAAAAAATACTACAACAAGAACAACATTGCTCACTTGATAGAGAGTCAGATAAACTAAATTATAAATTAAAGGTTGACTTGATCTTCACTAGTCTAAGAGTTACCTTTCCTTGCCAATATATTGTACTTGTGTGATATGCTGTAGTTTAAATCCCAGCATTGTATTATCACAAATAGGAGTACACTTTACTCATTCGAACAAACTCCTGAAGAAATTTCTGTTAAAACTTTATGTGTCAAAACATTTTAGTACCGTGCTTATATTCATACTCATTACTATATCCCTCTAAAAACAGAAGTTAGTTTTAAAATTGTCATAAATCAAAAAAAAGATTGGTGATGCTGTTTTTTTTTCCCATCCCAATGTCTCAAAATGTCAAATACTCCAAAAATGAGGTTTAATTTTGCATTGGTTATGTTTTGCTTTAAACCTCCTAAAAATATTTCACTCTCCAGGGTACAAAATTCTTTTTTTTTTTTTAAATTATTTCCAGTTCATTTTATTAATCATGCTAATTATTTTTGGACTGACAAATAAGCAATGAAAAACAAACTTCCCTTTGTCCTTCTTTTGGATTTCTTAACTTTTTGCATTTTGCGCATTATATTGACCTCTTTTCTTGACATGACTGTATAGGACAAATCTATGAATTGACAACACACAAATGTTGATCAGTATTGAATGTACTCACAAAGTTTCTGTGACTGAGCATACCAACATAGACGTACTATCTAAAGGGATTATGTATTGACCAATCAATGGCCATGTTTACCTGTGATCTGTTCAACCTAAGCTGCAAAGGCATGTATTATGTGAATATATTTCAACAAAATATTTTATTTGGTTCAAATTTAAATTCTGTTTGTAGATACACATGCTTCTTTTTGTTACATGTAAAATGACAAAAAATGCCAAAACATAGTAATCAACAACATTTACAACTTTTTTTTATTTTTGGAAAGCCAAACCTTTACTGATCTGAATTTTGAAAATGAATTGGGTTTTTTTTTTTATTTAGGATAAAGATATACAATTTAGATTACATATACATGAGTTTATAAAACTTCTTCCTGGCAAATGAAACATAAACAAAATTAACTTTTGGTAATGAGCATGGTTACAAAAATTAGTTATAATGATGTTATTAGTGAATCAATCTGAAAAAATGTAAATGTTTACAGTTTCCACACCTTGCTATAATGGAAAAATAAAAAAAATCCAAACAAATTACAAGAAAAATTGCAACAGAAAAAAACTAAAAACTCACCTTAGAAATAAAAATAAAAAGCAAGGCTTTAGAGAAGGTGAAAATGGCCAGAATGACTTCTATAATCCAGATAGGCTCCGGGCGATGTACCCAGAGAAGGACTGGCCTAAATAACACAGGTACAGGATAAAAAACAGATCAATTCATGTACATAAAGATAGAATACAGCCCTAAATAACACAGACGAAGTAAAGCATCTATAAATCAGAAAAACAAAGTTGTGATTTTTCTCTATATTTTGTATCTATTTACTTTGCAGAAGTCAAATTTAAAAATATTACAGTAAAATTTTCTCCTTTTTTTCATCCAGCCAACTGTTCTACTATTATCTTTTAATAATTAAACAAATGAAGCTTGTTACAAAAATTGCTGTTTGAAATACTGAATGACCACTTAAACTATAAATAATCAAATTTTATATATGTGTATTAATTTCTGCAATGCTGAAGGACACTTTTAAGGACTACAAATCAAAGTGGTTCTTCCAAGTCAATTCTTTTAATTAATAGGAATACTTCAAGTCTGTTAAAATCTCTGAATTCATTTCCAGTTTGTTTACGTTAAACTTTGTGAAATTTACTTCCTCAATGATTCATGCAGAAATTCTGAAATTCTAAAGTGACGTAAAACAGTAACACCATTGTTCCAGTCTGATAAACAACATTTTAACTGGTAATCATTTGTTTTAATTAGCTTTCTATTAACATTTTCAGACTTTGCCTGACATAACACTATAATGAGACAAATTTATAGAAGATTTAACAGAATTCTGAAAATAAAAATTAAACATACTGAAAGACCTGAAAAGCTATCTTTATACACAAACAGATCAGACTTGGAGGTGAAAAAAAAAAACTCAAAGAGAAAATGACTCTAAAGTCTACTGCAAAGCATAAAAATAAATTATTGTACTGTAATTACTACATATCATATTACATGTACTACAAACCAATAAAATACTTGTACAGTTATGTACTTGTCCATCTTCGCTAGCCAAGGGTGACAATCCACTCTTCTCCTCTGAAAAGAAAGGAGCTGATCGTCTCCCTTGGCTAGCGAAGATGTACTTGTCTTCATGAAAATTGTTTTCAAATATAAGGATTTTTTTTTTACAAGAGTTGTTAATATTACATGTTCAATATTCTTAAAATATTAATTTTCTTAATGCACTTGATGTGCCTTAAGGCATATTAATGTACGGCAGTGCGGACTCACCAGTTGATTTCGGCGGAGGAAAACTTCATCCCATCCTCATCATTGTCGGGGTAGACCTGGTACGTGTTGTTCCCCCCACAGGGAAGTCCCCCGCTACAGTCAAACAGAATTCACAGGATTAATGTAATGTACGTAGAAAAGTTATACACATATCTATACAGCCCCCACTACAGTCAAACAGAATTCAAAGGATTAATGCAGTGAGGAGATAATGTTATACATATATCTATGTGTAGCCCCAACTACAGTAACGATCAAACGGAATTCGCAACAAGATTAATGTAATGTTGATAAGTTATACACAAATATTTGTCCAAAATATAAATCTATTTTGGTGGTACATTACATTTCCAACCATGTATTATTACACAACTTCCAATTATCACAAATCAATGGAATTAAAAACCATGGATATGTTGAAGAGAGTTGTTGAGTTGAAACTGTCATCAATTTTTTTTGTAATTTATTGTATAATCATGTAACCTTAACATGCTCAAAATCAATCTCTCTTGTGCCAGTTTTTTCTCGACCCTACTAAGTTAACTGTCTACACTGTTACATAGCTTTAACATTTTTAACAGATAAGTATACTCGACAGACCTTATCTACCATGTTATCTTATCATTTCATATACTTTCACATATGGATTTCGGTGAATTGAGGGTTTTAATATTTGAGACAGGATCTGCCTTCAATTAACCCCAGTCAAAGGAATCCCTTCACTGCTGGGTAGACCTTACTAATACATGTCTAGTACATTATCAAAACAGGATACATGCTATATTTTCTATCAATAGATATATAATTGCTGAAGCTACAATCACAGCGTCTCACATACTTTGAGTTTATTTATACAAAAATGTTTTCCTTTTCTAACTCAGCCTGTCACAAATAATGAAATACAGTGTACTTCTGTTTCCTTGTGGGTACACCTTACACCAGGAAAACAGTGTTATATAAACAATTGAGCTAGTAGGCTTATACATAACCTAGCAATGTTTAAAAGTGTCATCTGGCTAAGGTTGGCACCAAGAAAAAAATCTCTATCTGAAATTACCTATTCAGAATTTACATAATATCAAACATTTGTATTAAAAAAGAAAGAGATCTCTGATTGAAATATTTAAAAAAAAAAACTAAAAAAAAATTATCAACAGCTGCAGGAAATATCAATAAGACCTTCATTTCCTAAATGTGAAAGAATTTATGCTACCAAGTCTTCTTTCACTTATATACATTCTTAGTTAAAATATTATATTTTGTATATAGAGAGAGAGAGAATAGTATATATGTTACCTTTTGTCATATTACAAACCCTGTATCAACCTGAGCCATGAATATCAGCTTAATTTAAGGGCCAAAGCCTGGAGGGCTGATATTGGTTGAGGGCATCAATGCCTGATACAGGGTGTGGTATGGAAAAGAGTGTTTTATTATGTTTATAACATAGACTTTTGTTTCATTAAGGAATGAAGTTTATTTCAACTTATGTTATCTGATTAACATAACTTGGGGCAGTTTACGCTTTATAAACCGCTTCGCGGTTTATAAAAAAGCGTAAACGGCCCCAAGTTATGTTATATCGGATAACATAAGTTGAAATAAACTTCATTCCTTATAATTTAATTTCAATGTAGGTAATGAGACAATTTTTCCATTTTTTCCTTCGGAAAAAGTCTTCAAATATCCCATATTTTAAAAGTTAACATCAAGCGGAGTAATACGTTCTTGACGTAACTCATTGTGACGTAGGCAAGTTATGTTATACAAAATGGATAAAACCGTTTAACCAATCAGATGACGCTTTACAACTGAAATTAAATTATTTTCCTGTAAGTGACTACTTAACCTACCATGCATACAGTTCCAAATGATCAAATTGTATCCTTATGATGTACAGTACACATAATGTTAGCTTTGCAATGATGTCAAACAAGGTGGATCCAAGCCCTACAAAATAATATCATACATTAGTATTCTAGAAAATATTCAAATCCTACAAATAAAAAATCTTTACTTCTTATTAATGTCAATTAGAATCCATGGTCTAATTCAACTAAAAATTATCTTAATTCCATAATAACATCATATAGGGCTATGGGCAAAGTCCTTCAATACAAATCAATACACAAGGCCACAAAGTAAAAATAAGTACTTCCAGTGAACTATAAATCTACGATGGACAGGTATCTAGAATTAACCTCTAGTAAGTTAATTTTTTGCCATTATACTGAGCTAGTACCAGTAAGCTTGTAGTAGATACTCAGTCTGATGGAATCAGGTACACCGCCCATGACTAAGAACTCCTGGACTAAACCTGGACAAAGGAGGTACACTGTCTCTCTAGTCAGGACCTTATCATTACTGATAAGAGGGCAAAAGATTCTCTAATACTGACCACTTGTCTAACACAAAAAAGAAAAATAAACCTACACCATGCCACTGGTGGATTTTAGTTGTTTGTTTTGTTTTTTAATTTACACAAATTTACTGACAGACAAAAACACTTGATCACTTTCTCTGGTAAGTTATGTCCTTGGAGAGTCCATTAGCATAAAGAAAATCTCCTAAAGCTTTCAGTGGTCAATGACCTAGCCAGAACTAATATCAGATAGCAAACATCAGAGAAAGTGAACTGATCTACTTACACATATACATACTTATAGAAAACTTACTTGTTCCTGCATTCCTGAACAAAATTCTTCTGATTTTCCCTTTTAAGGACAACTCCTGAGTCAAAACCACTGGAGAATTACTGAAATTACAAAGAACCTAGTTAATTACAGATGCACCTATCAAAATGTGAACTTGAATCAAATACTAAGTAAATTTTTTACAATCACAACATTTAAGAGCCATTCTCTGTAATGATTTGAAATTTTATATAGGAGCTGTAGCACGCATAGTCTCAAAATTTCTCCAAACTCTCTATAATAAAAGTCATTGATACCCTAAACTGAAATCAGGCAAAAATTGGTTGCTATGTTTTATAGTTACCATGGCAACATGTCTTAAAGTTCGAAAAATGGCATTTTTTAACATGTTTAGAGCCCCATAGATAACATTTGCGACAAAGCAAACAATTGGCAATGATTGTTTCCAAAAGTTGAAGGTCAGATGTCTCAAATGCATGATAAACACATTTGGTAAATCAACTATTCCATACGTTACTATGGTAACAAAGTATTCAAAAGTAAAAACAATATTCATTAATTTTATAAAGTCATACACGTAAAAATAAAAAGCAATTATCGGATGAATTGTGACCAAATAATAGAAAAAAGAGCCTTGAATCACATACCAAGAACAAAAAATGATATTTTATTTTGGTTGGCAATGGTTGCCAAGGTTATTATACCACAGAGAGTCGTCAAAGTAACACTCTGTATGTTTAAATCTGATCCTATCTTTTAAAAAAGCACATTTCCTCATCACTAATGATCAATTTTTAAAGATGTCGATGTGCTCCTAGTTTTTCCATTTGAAAAAATTCAGATTAGATTCTTTAAATAGAGCGTTGCTATGGGAAAAAAACAGAAAATATATGCTTAAAAACCTGAAAAATATTTTCTTTCCTTGGATACGTACCCTTAAATGTAGATTCCCAAAACTTTTATGATTGATATTTATTAACAGCTAACCTGCCTTTTAATTTTGACTATCATCCAATCTCTAAGTGGATGCAATAAGTTGGCACACAGGGTTTAATACTGATATAAAGTTCACAAAATCGAACATTTTCCCTTCTTGGTAACCATAGCAACAGTGTTGTTTTCTTCATCAAATTTTATCAACATATGATATTCAACTTCAGTTCTAAAGCTTTCAGTGGTCAACAGATAAGTACTATTCAAGCTGAGTCCTTTAATTTGTTTCTTGATTAAATGGCAATTTAATTCTTAATGCAGCGAAAAATAATTCACTTTTAAGCACTGGTACTTTGTTTCCATGGTAACACTGCAAAGTAGCAATTATACCCAATTTTTCTTATGGTTTTGGTGTTGCAAGGTCCTAAGGATGCATATTTGCCAGTCTTGAATTTTCATGTTTTTCCTCAAGACAGTAGCATTAACCCAATCTTAGTTACTGGTTTTGCATGGTTACACTGTGTTACCATGGCAACCATAAAAGTTATTTACAGAATAATATTGCTTACACTTATATACTTAAGGTCAAACATTTTCATTGCTTTTCTTAAGTCGTTGATTGAGTTTGAGCATGTAACACCTACCATTAGTGAATACGGAGTGTTTTTCAGCATATTTCAGCATTTTAAATGTATTCCAAATGTACCCTTGGTTACCACTTACTTAGAGATATATTCTAAACAGTTTCTTTACAGTATAAGTGACATCAAGGTGTCATGTTTTTGTTAGAATGGTTTGTTTGCTTTTTCTAGTTTTTATTAAGCCACAGTCAAGATTTAAAATGGCTGAAAATCTTGATTTTTCAAACTTTTCTGGCTGTTGCCATAGCAACCGAGACACATAGCAACGAAATGTTATTTGATATTTGTTTCTGGTGTCAAGTACTAAGCATGGGTGAAGATTCATCAAAATCGGTGACCATGCGTGGCAACAAAGTTTAAGTGGTTACAGAGAATGGCTATTAATTAATTTAACAAGTGTGCACATTTTTACATGTTGAGGAGAGGGGGATATTAAAAGAACCAATCTTTATGCACATAACTATCTGCTGCAATTGCAGAGAAAAATCTAATTTACTTCTTGCATAAAATTTCCCTCTTGCAAACAGATTTTAATGCATTTACAATTTAATAATCTAATATATGCTTTCATCTTAATAGTAAAAGGATGCCTTTTACAAAAATCAAGTTACGTAACGAGTTATCTTAGCTTCTAGTGGCATGATTATCAAATTTTTTTTTGTGAAGATTTTGTGCAACATCTGATCTCTCTGTTAGAGATAGAGTAAATAAACAGATTAAATCAAACGATTAAACAGAAACAAAATAACACGTACCTGTACCAATCATCCTCATCTTCGGAGTCTGAGGCGTACATCCATTTCAGATCGATACCGTCACAAACGTGGGGCTCAGCAGCCATGGCCTCACGTCTCTAGAAACACACAAAAAAAAAGACATCAGACACTTATAAATAATATCAGTCATCCTTATAAAGCAATCTCTACTTCATGAAAACATATCAAAGATCAAAGGCTAAGTAATTCCCTGATCCTTTAAATTCTAGTACCCGAATTCTATGGAAAACTCTGTACATTCTGTACATTTTGTCTTGCGCTTTATGGGACAACTGTGGGAATAAATTGTTGTACTTATAATTATATGCACACATGTACTTTGGAAGGACTGTTGGCTAATGAGATATTACATACTTCCTGATGCAGGTCCTTGTGTGCATGTAAAACAGATGTCTATTAATTATTTGAAATAATATACACTGCTAACTTTTTGCCAAAATTTCTTGGTAATCATATATGAGTAATTATTTGTGCACTTTCGAAGCTTTGAAAGGATAAAATATGTTTATAGCTTTGACTTTTTTTCTCTCTGAGCATGAATGTATTCAAAATATGAACTGAAGTGAACACCAGGTTAATCCCGAAGACTCATTCAAACCTTTCGCTTAAAAAATAAATCAAAACAATCACTCAGAATCACAATTTACTGAAGACTTAATTCTCTTCTATTATGACATTTTATTTAGATCATACTACAGAATTAAAATTTATAGAATACATACAATATTCATCAGATGTGCAGGTAGACATGATAAACATCGCAAATGCAGAGAGTTTGGAGAGTGTGGATTCTCCATCCTTTCGTTGTCATCAAAGTGAAAAGGAGTGTTTTATGTAAGTCAACATCTAAATGTTTCACATTACAGTCCAGTGTAAATTCATTGTTTAACAGGCTTAATCTTATTTCACTGTGCAAACAAAAAGAAGTGCATGTTTTTTTGTACCTACTCAACAGGTTATCACTTAACAACCTAGAACTTCAATATCAAATATCAAGGGAAATACTAGTAATCAATTAAAAGAGAGAGAGAGGAAGAGAGAAAGAAAGAGAGAGGAAAAACTGGTGTCATACAGAAATAATCGAGACACAGTACCAGTCCATGCTGACGGGAACCTTGTATGCATATATAGGGGCAATATTTGCTTGTTCCTATATCTACAATTTTTTCAATGCAAACATATTTTTAAATTGATATATTTTCAAAACATGCATAAAGCTGTTCAATAATTGTCATATCTTCCAATCATATGTTTCCTCTAATCCACATTGTTATCCCATGACGCCTCTCTGATTCTGGTTAAATTCCCCCAGACTAATTGTCATAACAGCACAATACCCTGTCATTGTATATCAGTACAATTTGTTATAGTATGACTTCAGTTTAACAACTGATACTAAAAAAAAGGACACTGAATCCAACTGTCAAATCTTATTAATCATGTTAATGGGGAAATGTATATTATTCCACTTTATCATGTTCATTTGGCAAATGCAGCAATTATTATGAAGAACAGTGAAACTTGTCTGATTTGGATGTTGCATAATGCGAAATCTTGCCTAATTTAATGTTAATGTTAAATCTCTAAGTACTTTCAACTGTTGAATAAAATGATTGTGGTCTATAATCAACAAACTTCTCTGGAACCAGTGATTTTCTGGATTTGACAGGAAATTAATATCCTTCTAATACATGTACTAACCTTGACATCTAATACATGTACTAACCTTGACATCTCCAGAGGTTACGAAGTATTTATATTACTTATGCAGATATGTATGCATGAAATGTAATTTTTATAAAATAAGACGTAAGTGACGTTATAAAATTATTTTTTGTATTTTGATATTTCTGGATGTTGATCAATTTCTCTTAAGTTCTGTCAAAATCATAACTGTACATGGCATACACAGAGAACAATGGGGACATCTAATAAACATGGCAATCAGCTTTTTGTTTCCTATCCCTCAGTGGCAATTAATTTTACACAGTGAATATGATGTAAAAATTGATAAAGAAAACATGTCCTTATCCAGTCATAAATTATTTTATATAAGAAAACTACATTAATTTTTTTAAGTTAAAATTTGACAGGAAATTAAAGAGAAGCAACTGGTGGCAGAAGCATTACACATTCAAGGAAATGTTACTGTACGATATAAATTGATTAACATCTTTTCTCTTAAAAACCTCAGAATTACACTTGACATCCTATATGAACATGTCACAGTTTTAATCACTTCCTCTGATAAGACACATAACATAAAATTATTATGATCAAAGACAAAATTATTGAAAATTAATAAAAAGATTTTACTGTATTTAAATTTTTCTCACAGAAGCACCAAGTCAATCCATCTGAACAGCTAGACAGACAGACAGGTAGATAGATAACACCCCCCCCCCTCTCTCTAAAATTAAGAAAGTTTTAACTAAAACCTTTGTTAATATAAAACTCACATTTTAACTTCAAGTATTATTAGACTAATTTCTATAACTTTCTGTGTTATAAATATTCTTTTTTACTATCATAATTTTTTAAAGTTTGTTCACAACTCCTTTGTTAGAAATATCATAGTGAATGGACTTTAAGTACAGATATGTTAAGTTTAGATAATTTAAGGGCCGAATCTACACTTGACTAAAAACATACACAGTATAAATGTATTATGGCTCATGTATAATGACTATATCACTGATTGCCAGTAGCATTCACTATTGCAAAAAAAATATCTGAGGAATTGCTTTACTAATCCCAACATATTCTGACAAGCATGAAGAATAGCTCAACAAATTACGACTTGATATCCAATAAAGATTCCTGCAGTGAGTTTTCTGATGCACACTAAGCATTGACGATTGATCACTTACTTTCATAACAACTCAAGAAATACAGGATCACATCAAATAAAAGGAATATATCCAACACACTAGGGGTCTCTGAAACCTGCCTTCTTGAACATTTCTTTCACTATGTATCTAAGGATGGACACTCACAAGACCTTGTAGAACGATGCTACATGTGATATAGTGCACTCTGCCAAAGACCCTAGTGTACAAGACATGGCTACTACTGCTGTAGAACCTTTTACTGTCCCTAACACTGGCTTATAACAGGGACTCTCTGGCATCCATTGGTCTCCTTCCTCAACTGGATAGTGTGTGTACACTGCTACTAATTAATACTTATGAACATAATGAAAGAATAGCCATCCAGTATATCCTCTCAAGGTTACAAAGCTAGGAAAACATGGGAAAATAAAGACTTCCTCTGTTTTTGTGGTATATAAAACAATTTCTTTACAAGTTCTATAAATTTTCACCCTAACCTTTTTTTATCAATAAAAGCTATACTACATCTCCTATCTTTAAACAAAATTTTGGCTTTGAGAACTATTTAAGATCAATTAAAAACTTTGAACATAGAAGAAATTTAATACGCTTTCGAATATCAGCCCACAGACTCCAAATTGAAAGGGGGGGCGATATCAAAATATTCCTCGACATGAAAGGTTTTGGCAGAGATGTATTAACAATTTAGTTGATGATGAAAAACATTTTTTATTCTTATGTAGTCATGTAAAGGAAGAAAGGGCTATTTTGTATAAAATAATAGAAAAATATTGTAAGAATTTTGATAAAATGGACAATGACCAAAAACTAATATGGTTAATGACCAATGAAAATGTTGAAATTCTTACTCCAATTTGTAAAATGATTCAAAACAATGGAATCTGATTTCTGAAGAATTGTATCTTTATGCATTACATTTCAAGTTATATACTAGGGTCCTCTATACCCCCAAGCTGTCCTGACTACTTGGGGTACAAGACTGACAGTCTGTATTTTCATACTATTCAAAAGGCACCGTCCCCTGATGCCCCAAGTAGTCAGGCCAACAAATTAAGTTTTCCTCCTACAAGCTGTCTTGGTTGCTTGGGGTACAAGACCGAGCAACCTGGTTTTTCATTTTTTCCAGACTGCTCAATAGGCATCATCCCTTGGTACCTTATGCTACCAGGCCAACAAAATTATATACATATATATATATATATATATATATATATATACCGATATACTTCTTGTAATAATATGATTGATAATATGATTACATGTACTTGCTGCTATTACCGGTATCCCCCTGGTTATTGCAGTATAGTATAAAGGAGCTTGGTCATATTTTTTTTCTGCATATTGTATTATTACTATATCATATATGTGATGCTTATATTTCATTGTGAACTATACCATTATTTCAAATCTGAGAACTTTTACAAGTGAGGATCAAGTCAATTTTGCATTGTTATAATCATGATTATATTGTTTGTTTCTTAATTGTATATGCCCCCAGGGTCATTCAAAAAGTTTGTAGACTTTTGTCATAACTTTTTTATTTAACGTCATATTATAACCAAATTTAGTACAGATATTTTAACAATAAATTCAAACAAATTGAACAAAAAAATTGGAAAATATCTTGATAATTAACAAAATTATCAAAGATATAAGACGGCAAAAATGGGGTCACGGAGCAGGGTCAAAATTGAACTATTTACTAATTATACACTTTATCTTAATAATGTCTAGAGCCATACCTCTGATAAATGGTGCTTAAACGAAATAAAATTGAAATATTTAAATTTAATTTTTTTTTAAATAAAAAATAATGTTTAGCTAAAATTTTTTGTAATATATATATCGCACAGTTGTGATTTCTAAAGATATTAATTTTGCTGTTATAACCTACATTTCCTAGAAGTTATTACTTAATTCTTATATGAAACTTCCAGTTTGCATAAAACGATTGAAGACAAGAACATGACTACTATTTTATCTTTTCGAGAATATATATAAATTCAAAATTTTGTTCTTTCACGCCACTTTTGTGAAACCTTGTCATAACAAATTTTAAATAAATGCTTTAGTTATAAGAACCAAGTTAAAACAAATAAGAAATAAGTCAAAACACATAAGGAATGTCAAAACACATGCAATTGTTTATAATGGAAATTAACAGACTTTAAATTCAGTAAACACTAATCACACCAGAGACTTTGAATCAAAACTACAATTAATCGTTCTGCAAAGAAACAAATTATGGAACTAAAAAAAATCTCAAAACAAATAAGTCAAAACAAATAAGTTATAACAAATAAGTCTTAACAACGTAAGTCAATGTCCGATTCCTTAATCCAGATATATAATGCAAAAAAAAAATTATATACAGATAAAGAATATTTAAAAAAAAAAAAGACAAATTAAAGAAAAGAACACAGAGTAAAGCTACAAAGTAAACATATCTTTTTTTTAATTAAACTTGTGTAAATATCAAACTTTTAAAAAAAGAAAAATAAAATATTCCATTCATAGGAGGCCTATCCGTCGTGTGAACATATAAGGCAATGTAGTAATTTTGATAGGAATATTTCCTCGTCGTTGTTAATATTCACCATTTCTCCGTGTGTTTAAATTTTTTTTTGTTTGCAAGATTTCTTTTATACTTTTAAAATTGATCTTTGGCTGTATATATTCCTTTTTAATCAAATGGATTGATGAAACTTTGCACACTGACATAATAAATGTTTTTACATATAAAAATGTATAAATCTGAAATTTTTCATATATACGAATAAAATGATGATGGTTTATCCGTGTCATTTGTGCTAAATATCTTTTCTTATTTGTATTTCAATTTTAATCGGCAATTAGCCTTTCCTAAAGGGCCCTTGATTGGTGAATAAAAATACAATATATATAAAAAAATATATATACTATGTTTTATATACTCTCAATTGTTTTTAAAATAAAATTTTACATGATTTTTCATTATACAAGGCGGCTACATGAAAGTTTTTGAGAAAAGAATTAATAATAAATTTCCCACTCCAGTCAATCAAATCCATATATACAGGCGGTAAACTATGTACACATTGATACAATTTAAAACAATAAAATTATAAATTTATTTGAAAAATCTATTAAGCATTTCTAGTAGTGGCATTCTTAAAACTATAAAAGCAAGAATTGCATTCATGAACATAAAAAAATGAAGTTTTCAAAAATTTTCCAAGTACCTTTCGTCTACCCATGTCGAATGGTTTGACAATCCTTTAACCAGATTTTACTTGTGGCTGAACTTTCATCAATAACAGATTAAAAGGAAAAGTAAGCATGCAATCGTAAAATGATTAATTCCCACCAGCGTAAAACTTTACCTTTTATGCCCATGCTAAAACTCATAAAAGCAGAATTACTCACAGGCATGACACAGTAGAAAAAACACCGAAAATATTATCTTCTATTAAGGTAAAATAAATCTACAGGTCTAAAAGGGTTGGTAAAAGTGGTCTTAAAAATTACCTTGTGTTAGCCGGGAAGGATCAATCTCTCCAATAATGTACTGACACTCTTTAACAGATCAGTTGCTACACACAGCAAGGAATTCCTTCTTTTCAATGCCCTTCATTCTGTGTATGATGTATCTTTAAATCGCTATATCCCACACATAATGCCTGTAAACATAGGTAAAAGAAGTCATTTATATATTTCACTTTCATCAGACATTTATTTAAGCCAAGTAAGGAAATCTAAGTCCTTTTGTTCACCATCACAGTTAATGAGAAAACAAATCATTCACGTTCCATTGAAGTTTTCCCACCAAATGTCACTGCTAACACTAAATGTAGGACCTCCACACACCTTGTAAATGGGAATTATTTACCGTTAGTGAACAGTACAATAAATCAAGGCTGATGTTTTTATGAATATGTATTTGAAACAGATGGGCCAATGAAAGATTTTCCAATGAAGCAATAAGTAAATCTACCTACAATCCCATTATCATTTGGTAACAATCCCAGTATCCTTGTTTACGAGACACTTAAAAAAAATTGTCTGACCTATTTTAAGCATGTTCAACACTTAAAGTTTACTTAGTACATATATCATCTAATTTAAAGCAAGCACTTAATTTTTAAGATGTGTAGCAATGTTGAAAAAGTAAAAACATTGGAACTTAGCATAAACAAGTGTACTGCTTAGTGCTATATTGATAATATATTAAATATCATGCACAATCTGTGCATCTGTGCCTGGGAGTGTGGCTGAAACTGATACTTAATTACAAGTACTATGAAAAGGAGAAAGTCCGACAACTGTCCATTCTGTGAGAGAAAGAACTGTTCAAGGCCCGAAGGTCCGAGAATAGTTTTTTTTTCTCTCACAGAATGGACAGTTTGAGGACTTTATCCTACTTAAAACATTTTCTCTATTGTTAACTTAATAAACTGTCGCAAGTGATGGTTATGTATTTGTTTTGATTACATAACACACTTGATTATCCAAAAATATCGAAATCTTTGTGAACAATCAGGATTTAAGGATCACTACACGAAACAATCTGTGAGAACAACAACAACGATCCGCTTGTATGAAGCTGAGATGGGGGAACAGCTTATAACAGAGAAAAACGGGCCACAAATCTATTAAAGTTTGATCCTACAATTGAACTAACAATGAATAGCTGCAGAGTGAATGAAATAATTTATTGAAATATGGGGGATTCAGATGATGGCAAGTGAATGAAAAAGATAAAAAATTGTGATCCCTGTCCCAAAAATTATTCCAACTGCAGTGCATCTACAGGATCTAGTGAGATTATCATTTCATCAGGAAATACCTTTATCTTTTATAATTTTAAGTGCTGCTGGATGTATTTTTATTTGTATGGATCTACCATGTCCAGCAATCATGTACAAATGTTGTGAAGAGGAAGAGACGTTTGTTTATTAATAAAGATGTGGATGTTGTAAAATTAAAATTTTTATTCGCGTGCGAGATTCGCGAGAGCCTCGTCATATTATATTTTTCATTATAACAGATGCAAAAAGGCTTTATGTTAATCGTCATTTTTGCAATCGCGAAATTGGATAAAAGTTGGTTTACAGTATTGTGCATCGATCAGGATATTACATGTACATATGTGTCATTTTTGCATTGGATTTGTCATTTTCAAAGATGATATACTGTTCAACATCATACACAAATGTTTGATATTTATGCATAAATGAAGTGTAAAAAATATTTTGCATTTTATGTATTGTTTTCAACATTTAAAACCTGTTTTAGTACATTATATAGCATAATAGATTTGGATATCTACAACCTGTACATTAAGTTATCTGTAATTATACATTAAGTTGACAAAAATCTGTCGATTAAGTTAAGAATTGAGAGTTTTGTCAACTTAGTGTACAGTTACAGGAGACTTAAAGTACAGATTTTAGATATCCAAATCTATTATGCTATATAATGTACTAAAAACACAAAGGATTACATAAAAAAAATGTTTTAAACTAAGAATCAAATCACCAGGTCCACACCAAATAAATATTGAAAAGTACTGGAATTTTTTTAATCATTAAGTTTACAATATCATGACATTATTTGTTTATAGAGTATACATTATCAAATTTAATCATCATTTTCTGAATACTTTTTCCTCAAAGTTTTCCCTTATTTTCATTTATTTTCCCATGCAAACTACATTTTTGAAAGATTAACACTTATTAAGATAATAGTATATAGACATCTTTTCTAATTATGATTCCAGCTTAAAATGCCATACTAAATGACACTTCATTTTAATTATCTTCCAAATGTCGTCATACATGTAAAAAAAAATTGGAATTTATAAGTAAATGCATAAAGTAGGTTAATTTATACACAACATACCAGTAAAACAATGGCCTATCCAACACGTCTTATCAGCATTTTTATTTATAAATAGGTAGGTTCTTATATCATGCTATATACATGTATGTAACCATGGTAACTATACATAATATAAGTGTACAAGAAAATGTAAGAAAACAAAAGGCCTATAGGCCACAGCGCTTGCCATTCTCTTCCTTACAAATAAAATTATGAATATGAACATGAAGATATTCATTTAAAATGGTAACATTGTAAATAAATGAATCGCCAATGCAACTGTATCAATGCCCCTTTTGAAAGCCAGATTTTTTTTATAATTGAAATTCTAAATTTCTAATATACATACACTTTAAGTTGAACATGCTAATATTCAACTCTTTAAATTGTTACCTTATTATTCTTGGAGATATCTACAGTACATTTTATTATTTTTTTCATTTTTTACAAATATTTCTTCCTAAATCATGTAAATAGTGACTCTATACACCTAGTCTTTGAGACCTTACTTCCAGAAAAAATTAATGTATTACTGAAATTAAATTACCATTAACATGCTTAAGATAACTTATTTACAATAAACATATTCATAATTACAAATCATTAGTAAAATGTCACATCCATAACTTACTGAACTAGGTGGCCAGTTGTGACAACCTATTAAAAGTAATGACTATTGTTTGCCTTTAGAACCTGATACTACCTTGAGATATAAATCAGAGGAAAGCAAAGAAAAAATACTGTACAGGTAAATGTATTTAAGCAAATACTCTTGAATGATCAAAATATCATGGGTTCTACAACTTTTTATCTTACAAAATAAAACTGTTGAACATGTTGTATGAACCTTTGACCAATACCTTTTGAACTGCACAGAATTCAATTACACTAATCTTTGATCGCAGAGAAATTATATAATATTACTCACTAGGCCTGGCATCAATTAAAAATGAATAGATGCTGTTTTAAAATCTCTCTAGATCTATACATTTGCTCTTAAATGCAAACATATAAATGAGTATACATGGTAATGAAATCATACACTATAAGTTGAAATATAATATTTCAAACATAAATTGTTTCACATTAAGTATTTTCAAAACACGTTATAATTTTTTGCTCAGATTTTTCAGTAAAGGAAAATGTAGTGTCTTTATTCTTAGAACATATAGAACACATTATTTCAATTTTGCATCACATAACGTAATACAGGTTGGGACCAATCGCCCAAATGGGATATAATAGTCCGTTTGGGATATAATATCCCAAATGGGCTATAAATTTACAGTGCAAAAATTGAAAATTTTTATTTTGGCTATAAATATCATAAATCCACATCAGGACACTTAAAAAGAATAACTTTTGGTTGACAAGTTTTCCTGTTTGCCCATTGTTTAGGAGATTTATCCATCGGAAGTTCTTTAACTTCTTGGGGATCAATTTTACAAACTGTAGGGTTGCAGAAAAACTTGTTTACCAAAAGTTATTCCTTTTTAAGTGTCCTGATGCGGATTTATGATATTTATGGCCAAAATAAAATATTTTCAATTTCTGCACTGTAAATTCCCTTTGGGATATTATATCCCAAATGGACTACTGTAGACGTATTACATTTGGCCTTTTATTCTTCTTAGCGGCTTTGGCGGATCACAGCAACCGCTAAATCAAGTACATAGCTAAATGTCTTGCATGTGTACACCAAATTAAGAATATGAAGAAATGCGCTAAATCAAATCTACGCTAACTTATTCAAATGTCAATTTCCGCCAAATATCGTACACGCTAAATATAATGCATTTACAGTATTATATATCCCATTCGGGCGATTGGTCCCAACCTGTTATAGACTTATATGGACCACTCTTTCCGTTTATTTAACAAGATATGTCACGAGCAGACGGCACATGTGACCCTTTAACACATTTGTTAACATGGCCTATTCAGATCTGCATAAATATTATTGTTAGGATTTTCATTGAAAACATTATCCGATTACATAATGAAAAGGTTAAAGTAATTCAGTTACTAATTGTGAGACATCTATTTGAGACATCTATTTAAAATCTACTTTCTGCATAAAATGAAATTTTTAATTTGGTATGATCTCCTCTTCTTTTTCTGTTATTCAAACAATTGACACTTTTCAAAAGAACAGATCAAGAAGTTTTACGACGTTTTTTATAACCAGCAAATACTGATTAAAAACTTAGATTTTTCAGTAAAATTGATGTTTTGTATACATATTGATATTAATACCATCTCTCAATTAAACATTACTAGGAACTGCTGACCAAAACTGTAAAGATTTAATGAAAAATGATTCACTTTTACCTTTTTCGTCTGTTGAATTTCCCCTCCGGAGGATTTTGAATAAGTAACTCGATCATTTTTTATTCGTATAATTTTGTTTTGTATTTAACAAAAATTATAAAGTTTTAAGTAATACAAGCGTTTCATTTTTACGATAAAACAATAACAAAACCTTAAATGTCTATTTATATTCCTTATGAATTAATTCAAAGTAAAAAAGACGTTTTCCTCGACATTTCCAGAGTTACCAGGTTCATTCAGCCGGAAGTTTCCAATCACCTTGCAAACTATAAACATTCCAAAAATAAAATCATCCTGATTACTGTGATGGATGCTTCACGTGATTTTTAGAATCATCACATTGAGAAATATGCTGGACAGCTATAATCCAGTGGGGTTAAATTAAGTTCAGTTCGCTTCACATTCTCCTTATGAACTTACTGACCATATGAACTTGTTTTCATGAAATGAATGGGCTCCCATGAACATATGCAATGATATGATGAAATTTTTGCATATAATAATTAGTTAATTACTACCTTGCTCATTCATTGATGAAATATCATAAACATGAGGATTTTAGTATGGCAGACAAAGAGGATGTTGATTGAGGGGCTATAATCAGATCAAAGAATACAAACCGTGCACTATAGCTTCCACCTGAGCATGTCCATCCCAAGTGTAAAACCTGACATTGGTAGTAAGGTGCTTCCAGGTGACAAAACGGGGCTCCCATGGGAGATCTGGAGGATCATCCTGTCATATCTGTCTGCTGAGGAGCTGTGTCGGTGCGCTTGTACTTGTAAGACTTGGAATGATTTAGTGATTAGTCTGGATAGCTCAAGGTTTGTACACATTGAGTTCTATGTCTATTAAAAAAAACAGTAAAAACAGTCAGAAAAAACTGTTTATTAAAAAATGCATTGAATAAAACCCTTACACCTAAATAATCAAAATCCACTTTTTGTAGCGTTGTTGTTCATACTATTGACTTTTTTCCAGAAATTATACATGTATATGTAATTATTATTCATGTTAACAGATTTCATATATGTAATTATTAATTGATTTCATATCTAAATATGTAGTTATTGATTTTATATTGCTTATCCCTGAAGTGGCCTAAATATTTACCTCTAGATGGAAAGAACTATACTTACAATGTTCAGACTGGAAACATCCATTCTGGCCAATCAACACAGATTCAGAACCCGCCTCCTGGAAATTAGCTTTCAAAGAACAGTACCTGTCAGTCAGGTTTTGGGGAAGAAACTTGCGGGAACCAGACTCTGCCACCTGTCTGTATGTCCTTAAACGTAGGAAGGAGAGAAAAGTTATTCAGGTGGGCAGAGACATGGAGCATACTTCATTGAAGAGTGCCTTAGCTGTGGCAAACGATTATGACAGAATTGAGATCTACCCTGGTATCTATGACGAACAATTCGAGATGTCCTCCAAAATTCCGTTTGAGATTATTGGGGTCGGTGAGCTGGGTAGCATTATTCTGGTGGTGTGTGTCGAGCAGATCGCACTGACGGGGAGAGTCAGTAATCTTGTGTTCAGAGCACCATGGTTTACAAACTTTGTTCTCAAGGTCAGTTTATAAAAAATATATTTTAAACCATAGGTATTTGATGGAAGTTAAAAGATTTATGTCCAATACATTAGATAAAATGCAATTATTATTATCAGCTGATATTTGAAGATGGAACAAATGTTTAATGGGAACAAGTGAACTAATAATTGAACTTATTTCAAACTGTCTTTATTTTATTCAAATTTCCAAAGTTAGAAAAGCAAAATTTCAACAGAATTTTCTTTTTCAAATGTTGACAGTTCATTAGCCAAAGTTTGTTGAATTTATATGATAGCATTTGTGTTTGATAGGTTAGAGTTGGATATCTGCAAGTTGACAACTGTATTTTTGAGGATGGAATGGTGTATGTCCAAAATCCAGGTTCTTGTCACATAAAATTCTGTACATTCCGTCATGCTACAGTGATTCTCCAGCATTTGAATTCCAGTATCATAGAAAACTGTGAATTCTCAAAGACAGATTCAGCTGCTATAACCGTGGAGGGATTCCCCCGTGAAGACAGAAACTGGACTTATGGCTACATGATGGAGAAAATTGCCGCTGTCAGCCACTTGAACAGGACACCACAGAAAGGCTATGAGATGGCACCACCTTCAGCGTTCTCCACGTCGACTGCTGTGACACAGAAATGGCTTCTGGAGAAATCAAGTGATTCGAAAACAGAGTCGTCTCACGATCCAAATCGTAGACAAAGCTACTGCAGTTCTTCATTCATGCAGAGCGAGTTTACAGACACTTCATTACAAACAAGGAGTGCAAATAAAGTGCATGGAAGAACCACTGCAAAACATTCATTCAACATGGATCAACTTCAGAGTCGAAATTCATGTTTTTCCTCCCATACAGGGGAGTTAACTGGAAGTGCTAGAACTTGTGAATTTCTTTCTCAGAGTGACTCTTCAAACTATGGAGGAAAAAACACCTTAACTGTTCAGGGTAGCAGTCACGGTGGGAGCTTTACTGTCTCAGAAATAAGCAACAGCTCCATTATAGGAGGAGGTAGTATCAGGGTAGACATTGATGATCATGACAAATCTTCATTGTGTTCAGGAATGATTTTGGAAGAAGAGAAGCCCCCAGTTCAGTTTCAGGGTGAACAAGATCATGCAGAGGTCAAAGAACAGAACAAAGCAGAGGCAGATTGTGGTGCAGAAAATGTGGAGAGTGTGGGGGAGAACAGCAGAGATCCTCAGGAACTTATTGATCCACCTAATGAAATCAGGTCAAGGTCACCAAGTCAGAGGAGTAGAGCCAGTTCTGGGTCAAGGTCACACAGTCCAGTGTCTACAGCTAGTGGGAGTGACATTTTTGATGACAGTAATGACAGCATAGGGAGTTACAATTCAGGATCCAATCATTCTAGAGGTAGGTCTTACATCTCACTAAACATCAGGAATTCATCATTGAATTTAGCAGAATTTTCTTTTTTGCACCTCTACTTTCGTTAAGTTCAAAACTTACTTACTTCCAATGGCAAAAAAATAAAGCTGAAACATTTTTTAAATATTAATATTTTGAAAGTTTAAAGTCCATCAATTAGTGAGTTAATTTATTCAGTACTGAAAATTCTAGCTTGATTAAATAAATACTTTGAACATTGATATTTGGAATACATGTACTACAGTATCAAAGTTGGCATTCCCATTTTCCAACCATATGATTTTTATTAAATATGTTATATTCTCAATATCTGGAATCCTTGGATATCTTGAGGTTTTCTCTCAGTTGCATCTAGTTCTAGGTATTGAGGTTTGGCTGTACGTGATTTATTATGCAGAACTAGGAAATCAGATTGCTAACTTATTCTTGTCCAATGTCATTTTTTCTTACCTTAATTTTATTTAGGGTCTAGTAGTAGCAGTGAGGAGGAGGGAGGGTTGCTCCTCTCTGACACAGACTCGGACTTCAGTGATGAGGAGGAGTCAGTCATCATGTTGACCTGCCCCCAGCACCAGCAGCCTCGATCAGTCTCCGCAGCCAGCATCGGGGCTGATGTAGTCTCCATCTGTAGCCAAAACCAATCCGAAAACATCCGGATAATCGCAGATACAGCCGTTAACAAAGTGACAGAGGAGGTGCGGGGATGTTTGATCCACCGGTGTCGGATGAGCCTGTGTAAGGGAGGGGTGATGGTCAGTCTCCAGGCTCATGCTATCATCTCCCACTGTGACATCAACGGGGTGGGGTATGGAATCAGGTGTATACAGAACGCCAGGGTAGGTTAAGGCCCATTTATCAGTTAAACTTTTGTTTTGTTTTTGTCCATGATCTCTTTACTACATGTGATATACCTTTTATAATATGTCATTGTAGGTTATCATTTTGAAGAATGAGATCCACCACTGTAGAACCTCAGGGGTGTTTATGAGGCTAGCAGCCTCAGGGTTAGTGGCTGGTAAGTGTGTCAAGATTCTGTGGGAAGGGCGGGGGGGGGGGGGGGGTTAGCAGCCTTGGGGTAAGGTGCAGCCATCCAGGTGTCTGTTTGGAGGATGGAATCCTCAGAATAACTGTTAACTATTAAAAATAAAATCTTGGGCATCTAGTCAATTAGCTGTAGTACATGTATGTATCTGTTCTTATTAAAGATGCACGTACATAGGTGTCTGTCAGCTGGATAATATAAAGAAATGAAAAAAAAGCAGTATTTGTAATGTGAGAATGAGTTTTGTGCATGCTTCAAAGATAAAAAATATGAGCTAGGGTGTTCATTAATTTTTTTTCAGTAGATTAACATTTAATGTTAATTAAGAGTCACCATTCTTTGTTGATTTCAGGAAATGACATCCACTCTAATTGTGAAGCTGGTATTGATATCAGAAAAAATGCTGACCCTCTAGTCATGGTAGGTCTTAAACAATTCATAAGGATAAAAATGTTAATGTATTTAGATGTAAGTGTTCCATCTGTAAAATTTTATTGATCTGTAATAGATTTTCTGCTTTAAAAAAAAAAAAAATACCATATACAGGGTTATTTTTGCCCTGTCATTTTCATAAGAAATAAAGCTGTTTTAAATTTTAGAAAGATGATGCTATTTTCTTTGAGATCACTCTTACTATTTTCAATTTATCCAAGAAGAAAATGGGTTGAATGAATGTTTCTCTGCATACCAGTCAGTACACTGCTGTTACAGTATTAGGATTGTTAAACTTAAACAAGCTTTTTAAATATGAATTTAAGTATTCATGGAAATTATTTCTAAACAAGTTTACTAAATGAAAAACAAATTTACAGAGCAACAGAATTCACCATGGCAAGCGATCTGGGATTGTTGTTCTGGGAAGTGGGCGTGGTCAAATTAGGAACAATGAAATTTACCAGAACAAGGAGGCTGGACTGTATATACTGTACAGGGGAAACCCAACTGTCAGGTAGGCTATATATAATGTATAGGGGAAACCCTAGTGTCAGGTAAAGTATACTAGATAAAGATCTAATAATTGTTCTTGGAGAGAGACCCCAATTTTTTTTTTATACCACATA